TATTGTTTTCAGGGCCTATAATCTTCTATAGAAGGTAGCAAAAACAGTGAGTCTTGTGGTACCTCAAAGACCAACAAACACGCTATAGCATAAACAATCTATTTTATCAGATAATGAAGTATTACCCTGAGAAACAAAGAAATATTGAACTGGAGATTTCCTTTTGGACTTTTACCAAAAAAAGCCCTGTGGTTTCAAATAGCCAATAAATAGGAGTGAAAAACTATAGCTTTCCAGATGTTGCTGGACTACAACTTTTGATAGACTGACCCAGCCTGGTCAATGGTGAGGGATGCTGGGAATTGTAGTTCAACAATGTTTGGAGAGCTTCAAATTCTACACCAGAATAGCTGATGGTACTTCAAGGTGGGGAAACCTAAGGACCTTACTTATATTGTTGCCTAGAAGCAGACCAAGCTGGTAGTTGACCACTGAGGAAGTTTAAATCAGGATGGAGTGGGGGTTGTTGCTGCAGCTGCTGCAGCACACTCATAAGCAGACAGAATGTGTGGGATGTTATGCAGAGAACTTGTTCTCATTAGCTGGACTCTTTTAACTACATCAGTATCCCTTTGCCTCCAGACAATAATTTACTAATAGAGACCAGTTCAGTTCAGAATCTTAAAATCACATTAGTTTTGTTGACTTTCTGATGGCTTAGAACCCTCTTTCCCAAGCCAATGTCCTTCAAATGTATCTGTCTAAACATCTCAACAATCCCAGTTATCACGGAGTTGAAAGAGAATGACAGGAACTGGAATCTAGGTACCTGGAAGGCATCATATTGGGAAATGCTGTTTCGGTGCTTGATTGTAGTAAAGCAGTGTTTCTCAACCCTAGCAATTTATAGATGTGTGGACTTCAACTTCCAGGGTTCCTCAGCCAGCTGTGGACTCCTGGGAGTTGAAGTCCACATGTCTTAAAGATGCTAAGGCTGAAAAGCACTGTAATAGAGAAAAGAGTGGGCTGGGCAGTGTATCTGGAGTGGGAACCTATTAGCCTCCAACTTTTCCTGTCTCTACTGGGCAAGCAAATGAGAGCTGCTGGAAATTACAGTTCATCAAGATCTGGCAGGCTATGGATTCACCACCGGTGATCTATATGAAGACTGGATTAATTTATTTCAAAAAGCATTTGTTTTTCTCTCCAGTCTCTTTTTGCCCAGTTCCAGCATATTATGCAACTTACTAAGGCAAAGGCTACTTTAAAGGAAACATAAAGGAGACAATTAATTCAGGATAAAACTAGGCAACCCATTAAATTACTTTTTCTCAGAAAATAAAAATGAAAAACGTTTACTATTAATGGTTAAGGCATAAACCATTGTTGTGGGAGTAGCAGCAGTCTACTGCAGTAGCAACAAAAATGAAACTAACAAACAGAAACACTTAGGTTCTTATACTAAGATTCACAATTGAGCCCCAAATTTTTGTTGCTAAATGAGACATTTGTTAAGTGAGTTTTGCCCCGCTTTACGACCTTTTTTGCCACAGTTGTTAAGTGAATCACTGCAGTTTTGAGTTACTGACACGGTTGTTAAATGAAACTGGCTTCCCCATTGACTTGGCTTGTCAGAAGGTTGCAAAGGGAGATCACATGACTCTGGGACATCGCAACTGTCACATGTATGAACCAGTTGCCAAGCATCTGAATTTTGATCATGTGACCATGGGGATGCTGCAACGGTCGTAAGCATGAAAAACGGTCACAAGTCACTCTTTTCAGTGCCGGTGTAACTTTGAATGGGCACTAAATAAACTGTTGTAAGTTGAGGACTATTTGTATTATCAGCCATACAAGGTAGTCCAGACCAGGAAATCAACCCCAAGGAAGACTAAAGCTACTTTTATTAAGATTAGCTATAATGAGAAAATCTTCTGCTATACCTCCTCCTCCTCTGGAATGAATTAAGAAGGTTGTGCCACTTTCAAATGTTATCTCACTTTCTGGATTTTAAAAATGCTTCATCTCTTTGTGCCACATACCTCCATTCAAGTAATCTTCCTTACTCTTCTTTGAACATAAAGATAGTGAACATTGTTTCCATTGTAATGAGCTACCAAATTTGTTCTAGAAATGGATTGTTACAAAATTCTGGGTGATTGCTTTTGAGAACTTCCCTTCTTTCACTTGATCTGTTCATGAAATATTTCACTATGCCATTTTGCCAGGATCCTCCATATTTGTCCTATGGCCTAATAAGAAAGCAGTGGTGACTCTGCCATGATGGATTTCTGAACAGAGCTTTCCTTCCCATCAAAGGAGGATACAGAAATGCATCTAAATACAATTCTGATCTGTTTGGGTTGTCCAAACTGAGCTTTGCTTCAAAGAATCATGTGACTGTACTAAGACTGCTTCACATCTCTTTGAAAAAAATTAGACCCACCATTTGGGAATGTGGTCACATAATGGTCTTTCCTACATGGTGGGCCATTTTCATCCAGCTCCGGGTCTGTAGCTATATAAATGAGTATCTATTAGATCAGTGGTTCTCAACCTTTTTAATGCCGTGACCCCCAACCGGTCGTACGTCGAGGACTACCCAACCAGTTGTAAGTCGAGGACTACCCAACCGGTCATAAGTCGAGGATTTTCCCTGCCTGGAAGCGCTGCACATGCATGGTGCCGCCCCCTGCACCGGCCGAGGCGTAGCTGGCAAACGGCAGAGACGGCGCAGGCCACCACCGGCTGGGCCACCAGCTGGCCCAGCCCAAGGGAGGTAAGGCACCCACCGGGCCCCACACACGCCAGCAACCCTCCCTGTGCCCGCCGGCCTCCCACCTCCCACCCCTGGCCCTCTTTTACTTACATTTTTAGTAGTTGCTCAGCAGGGAGGGGTGGAAACTTCCAGACAGCTCGCCTTCGCTGCAGACAACTTGCAGCACCGTTTGCAGAATGGGACTTTTGGCGGGCTCAGCAGGGCAGAGACAGCCTGGACAATTCCTATTGGCTTTTGAAAGCCAATAGAATTAGACTCTATTCAAGAGAGTCTATTCTATTGGCTTTCAAAAGCCAATAGAATAAAAGGGAGTAGCACAGCTAAGGAAAAGGGGGAAAAAATGGCGGACTGCGTTGTTTCGCGACCCCCGTGAAATGATCGTTCGACCCCAAATGGGGTCCCGACCCACAGGTTGAGAACCACTGTATTAGATGCATGCACACTTCTTCCTGCTTCCTGACATAAGTATAAACTGTCTTGCAGGCTGAAAGAAAATATCCTCTTTAAAGGCCCATTACTTGATAACCGACTACAGTAGGGAAAGGAGAGATGTTGCCTGCTGTAATCTAAACAGCATTGGTAAGTAATCATGTGGCTTATTCATGTGGCTTGTTGTGTGTTAAATGTACATCCTGCTTTTTTTTTAGGAGCTTAAGGCAATGTAGATAGCACTGTCTCCTTTAGTTTTTCCTTTACACTGTGATATAGGAGGTTCCACAGAGTAGTTTATCCAAAATCATCAATAAATCCTAAACATGGGAGTGAACTTGAACCCAGGTATCCCCAGATATCCAGTACTTTAACCCTATACCACACTCCAGAAGATAATTTTATTCTGTAATTTTCCCGTCTGGGGGGGGGGAACAGTCCAGACTATACCATCTTCTACTTGCATCCCTTTTCCAGCAAAAATAGATGATGCCTTTTGATCAGTAGCATAAGACTGTCCATCAAGAAGCTCATCCCACCCAGATTTTTTTTTTTTTTTACTCACTCTCCTCAAAATTGGCAGGAAGCCTTCTTTCCGTCTTCTGTTCTACATCTGATCAGTCCACATCCCATCTTAATAATGTAGGATAGAGAAATTATTTTTTAGTTACTCTTTGATTTAGATAGGTTAGCTTGTGGGAGGTGGCTGACAGGGTCACCGCATTAGGCAGCTTGCATTATGTCAAACTGCTTTAATTTTATAGGAAAATTGAATGAATGGGAAAGGAAGGGATGGCATAAGGCTCCTCCCTGCTTTTTGGGGGTGGGGGGGTTGATAACTGGCCTGGTTGTGCTTTATCAGTGATGAGAAGGAAGCAGGGTTAGGGTTTATATGATTGAAAGGAGGAGATACCTGGGTATGCCAAGGTTTACCCTTGGCCTCCAAGCAAGTCTTCTGTCTTCAGATGTGGTGAAGGATGCTGTCCAATTCCCCATCTTAAAAGAACAAGTCACCCATCTAGAAGCATCAGCCTGGACAATTTGAAGTCTGGCTTTTCTCTCCTCTGACCCCCACCAGGTTTTATTTCCATTTTGTAGATTTTTGTTTCCATTCTTGACAAATTAAGATTGGTCAAAATGAGTGAAGACAAGATATTTCTTCACATTTCCAAAATCATTTTCCTTGCTCAATACGGCAGAAAATTGGTCATTGACATACGGTTTGATTTTGGAACCGTCAAACTTGGCGGAAAGAGACAAAAGTGATAAGATAGTTGTTGAATGCATTGGGTTAATGAATGTCTGTACTTTCCCTTAAAAAAAAAATAACAAATTTAGGGATAAAGATCTCATACATGCAGACTGACTTTAAGTTCTAAGTGGGACTCAATTTCTTTTGGAAATTTCATAGCCATCCCTGTTGACTCACTCCTTTTCTGGGCCCGCAGAGTTTAGAGAAAGCACTTTTTGTCTGTAGGGAAATCACAGTCTTCTATACATGATTAAATCCTTCCTTTTGCTTACAGATACTACGTAACTCCTGATGTAAGCACAGGACGTTTGCACTGTATTTTGTCAATTACTTACTTAATCATTCCTTCCAGTCACCACTCTCCAGGGACCATTCTTTCTCTTGTACCTCCTAGTTAGTTCCAATTTTGAGTCACCTATACTTTTCCTGAAATCAGTCAAGCTCCCCTTTCCTTAAACTAAAAGGTTTATTCTCCCCCCCCACTCCAAAGTTTCTCGCCCCCCCTCCCGCCCCTCAAGTTTGCAGCTGTCTGGATGTATCCGAACGTCCGCTTGCAATTACAAATAAAGGAGCTCGTTTGGATTGGGGGGGGGAGAGCTGGGAAGGGACAAGGGGCAGTATTTGAAAATCTATGGAGCAGAATTCCTGTGTGGAAGGCAAGGCTCTCTCGCTCCCTCCTCCCTCCCTCTGCCCTCATTGATTTGAGGCGGGGAGGAGGGAGGCGGGGGAGGCGCTGCCTGGGTGGTCTCTTCTCTCTCCACTTTGGTGAGCTGTTGCTTAGCAGCTAATAATAGGAGATGTTTGCGGAGTAATTTGCCTCTTCCTCGGCCAATGGGAACTGGAGCACTTTCCCATCAAACCAAACCTTCCTCCCCCCCCCTTTTTCCTCTTTTCAGGATCTCGAAGGAGGCTGTTTGTTCCAAATGTTGGTGGGACGGGTTCCGAGGCGCACTGCACAGCCGGGCACCCGAGCGCTTCTCCTCTCGCCCTCGGAGGCTGCGTGAGTGCTTACTCCCGGTCTCCCACCGCGCGCCGAAGGGCCACGCTGGGCGGCGCCAAGGGCGCATGGGGTGCGTCTGGATGGCCCCGGATTCGCCCCCATAATGTTCGCAGGGGATCCCCGCAGAAGCCATTCTGAAGCCTCGGACCCCGCACTTTTCTCTCGTGGATTACCGCTCTTGGGAAGCCGCCGGAGCTCCCTCGCTTCACGGCAGCACCGTCCTCGTTCGACCCCGCACCATGGCTTCGGGTCAGCCGGTCCCCGGGAGCGGGGGCTTCTTTGGAGAGCTCCCGTCCTCTTACGCAGCTGCTGCCAACTCCGACCTCCTTCGGAGACCCAGCTATTGCCACGCAGCCTTTGCCCTCAAGCAGATCTCCAAGGTAAGGAAGCGGGACGACGGCGCTTTCCCACGGATGGGGAGGAGAAGAGTGGGTAAAACGTGGGGATTCCTCCTCCCCAGGAGCCGTTACAAAGGGGTGAAGGCGAAAGCAGCTCGCGCGGGCGCGGGGACTGCGCGGTGGCGGATCCTTCAAGAGTCTCTCGGCTTCTTTGGGGTGAGAGATGAAAGGAGGAGGCCGGCTCTCGCATGCGTGCTCCGGAGACGGTCTGCTCTGGGGTCCCAGAAGCTTGTTTATTGAAAGAGGGGGAGACGAGACAGAGCCGTCCTGGGGGACTGTTCCTAAATGGGGAGTCAGGAAAGGCCCACTCCCGAAAAGATTCCTGAGAAGATGCGAAGGAATTAGGAACAGGAGGACCCAGGCGCTTGAGTGTGAGTAGGAGGATGGATTTCCCCTAGTCATGTGGAAAGAGAAGTCCTGCCCTGGTCAGGGCTTTGGAAGAAACACTGTGGAGGATCAAGGGAGCCCATGGAGAGAAGGGTGGAAGAGGATATAGCTGACAAATGGGGAGAAAAAGCTTACACCTCTTCTTCTCCCCTCTTTCCCTGGAGAGTATCTGGGAGTTAAGTTGACCAGATCCTTGACCTTCTAGCTGCAGTGAGGCTACAGACAACAAACAAGGAGCTTCAGTTAAGAGCTGTGTTCAGGAGAAAGAGGAGGTGAGAATCCTTCTCTAAGCCATTATCTGGGTGGGACAATCCCACCAAGTCTTAACTGTAAACTTTGCAGTGACTTCTCATTTTTTGCATAGTAGCTGCCCAAAATATAACTATGAATGGACCCATCTTTAGAAGCACCAGTCATTAGTGCAGAAGGCTTTCGAAAACTTTGTATCCTTCAGGTGTGTTAGACTATAAAGCCATCATTTTCAGCCAACACAACCCTAAAATACAATGTGTGAAGATTATGGGGTACAGTCCAATGCATCTAGAACTGCACAAGGCAAAGGGAGGCTGAACAAATTCATATCTTCAAACTAGAAGGGAAGAATCAGCAAGGAGATGAACAAGTTACTAGCAAATAGATTCAATTGAGCCCATAACAGATGACTACACGTAACACCTATGGCCCCAAATCTGTGAGTAGGATTTCACAGGAATGCTTTATTTAAAGATAGTAAATCTTCCTTAACCCCAGTGCTAGCTAATCCTCAAACAGGATGTTCCATGTAAGGAAAGCATTTTGGCTAACTTTCAGTTTTTCTCTCCAGGGTAAGGCTGTTGGCCAGAAAGCCCCACTGTGGCTGCGGGCCCAGTTCCAGGCTCTGTTGTTTACACTGGGCTGCTGGATCCAGCGTCATTGTGGCAAAGTGCTTTTTGTGGGGCTGCTGGTCTTTGGGGCATTGGCAGTAGGGCTGCGAGTAGCCTCCATCGAGACTGACATTGAACAGCTCTGGGTAGAAGGTAAGTTTCTTCCTGGTTGATGTGAATGCTAGGAGGACTACATGTAGCATGGAGTGTGTTAGGAGTGAGACAGAAGTTGTCTAACACATTGGAAGAAAATTTAGTTTTGGTACCAGCAATTAAATGCCTCTGCAAAGTAGATGTTGGCAGACTCCAAAATTCCATGTGGGATGGAAGCATGGAGCTTCTCACTTTCCACCCCTTTTTTTAAGTGACTGATACCAAGCAACAAGTCTATATTTAATCCCTTGGATGTTAAATTTTTCTTCCATTTTGAGGAACTTTATCTCTTGTCTTCAAGATATACAATGAATGTAACAGAAACAAGTGTAGAGTGTGACCATAAAGTATGTTCTACAATCTCCAGAACCATTAGGCAAAATAAATATTTTTATTTAAAAGAATAGTTATATGGGGAATATATACATATATAGGCAATGTCTGTGCAAATCTCATGAGTGCAAAAATGAAAAATAATTGTGCCCTGGTATTGTATATGTGTAAGCTAGTAAAAACATTGCATCAATATTTATTTTTCTATGAAACAATAATTTTAGGACATTTCTTTGAATTACATACTGCATCACTGAAGGTTTTTAAGAAGAGACTGGACAGTCACTTGGCTGAAATGGTTCTCCTGCTTGAGCAGGAGGCTGGACTAGAAGACCTCCAAGGTCCCTTCCAAATTCTATTCTATTCTATTCTATTCTATTCTATTCTATTCTAAATGGCAGATGTTGTAAAAGTATGGAATACAGACTTTCCATGTTTTATGGCAGTTCTCATGGAATTATAGGCAACCACAAAGTAAAAAAATAAAGATGGGTTTTAGTTCAGTTTTGTTTGTCACTTAAGACTGCTCCAGAGATTGTATGGCTAAAAGGTATCCAGAAGGTATCTGTTTTGAAGGTTTCACTAATGAGATGCAACATTTTAGGGACAGTTTTTGAAATTGTGGGAAACCATAGATTTTGATGTTTAGTTATTTAGTTGTTTACTTATTTATTATACTTTGCTTTCTCTTTGAGACATTTCCAAGTTGCTAGTCTGGCATATGAATATATGCCAGACTAGCAACCTATATAGTTTAAGCAAAAGAGTTTTAGTCATCCTTGAGGCCATTTTCTGATAAGAATGAAATCATGGTTAATTTCTAGACTGACTTTTAATCTCCGGTTTGTTCAGTCACATTTAAATTAATCTATTAAAAATGATTTAAAGCAACAAGCTTAAGGAAGCAGATCTCACCCACAATCCAAAGATTTAATGATTTTTTTTAAAGAGACTGTTTGACTCCTGTGCCAGACTTGTTCGTAGGAGTGTATCTGTATAAACCTTTTATTACTATTCTGCACATGTGTGCCTGTGCATGCTCTCTCATTGTAAGTGTGTGCAATTCAGATTTCTATCAGTGAAAATGCATTCCTCCACAAATACAAGTATAATTAAATTGATATTCTTCCCTCCAATATAGTTTTTCTTGCCACCACTTCCTGGTTGGTTCATTACATTATTGATATTCAAACACTGAAATTATCTTTCTGAAGGTGATACTGAAGGAGTGAATAATTACAATCTGCAACCAAGTTGTCAGTTGTACTTTAGTCTGGATACCACTCTCTGGCAACTGAGAATGAATTCAGGTTAAATGCAGCCAGCTCAAAATAATGGCATCATCTAGGAATACATCTTAATTTGATAAAAAAATTGATGCTTTTAGGAAATCCAGCATGTTATCTCTTTTAAAACTGTTGCTATTTCACCCTGATCTTTCCCTTCCATCCACTCCCTTGCAATCTTCTCCCTTCCAACTCCAGGTTGTGCTGAGTTTTCACACCCTGGGACTTATTTATTTATTTATACTTTTTTTTTTTTTTGCAAACAGCCTGGGAGCTTTCCAAGAGCAGATGTTTCTCTGTGATGACTGTCAGCGATCTTTGGCGTTCCACACCTCCTCCCCCCTGCACAACCCAAACTCCCTGTGTGGTCCTAAACTACTCTTGGATTTTGTTCAACAATAAAGGCAACTTTACTCTTCCACCCTCCCACTCCCTTTTAAATAAAACCACACTCACATGAATGCCAGTAAAGTTTACCCACCTGTTTCACACTCTGAAAGGGGATTGGAAAGAAAAGAAAATACCTCAACCTTAGCCTTTTTCTCTCCCCTACTTCTTGCCTCTGTGTGATAGAGTCTCATGGCAAAAAGGAGAACCATCAAAAATCCGCAGCTGTTTAAACATTTAAAGATGGGAAATACCCTTTTTGTAATCAACACATCTTAGTCCAAATCAAGAACCTCCCCCTGAGAACCTACAGAACTGGGTTTGTTCTTAGTTCCTGTTTGGACACTGACAGTTTATGACAAGATTCTTCTTTTTTGCCTGTTCCAGTGTTGAGTTGCTGCTAGCAGGATCTAGGGCTCAGCTTTGAGTGCTGCATTGAAGAGAACCTATCCACAGTCTTAAAAGAAATTCTCACTGATGCCATTTTAATATGCAGTATACTTCTTTCTCAAGACCATAAGTTGTTTATTATCTGGTTGTGCTTGTACTTCAGTGAAATGCAATGTTATCAGTTGATTAGAATTTGCCAGGCACAATATATCTGAGATACATTGTTATGGATAGCTATGTGCTGGGAAATTTGGATACCAAAAAATGGCATACATGGAAGTAAGGGAAGATTGCACCTATATATCTCCTTTCCTGCTTTCCTCCATGTTCTATTCTATAAATGTGGTATAAATCCTTGGGTAGTTAAAACGCAGCTTCTTTCTTGGAAATAAGTACTGATGTGAAAGTGCTTTTTGAATGCTCCTGCATTCTTTTCTGTAGTTATTGTGGGTCTCTTGAATATAAGTTGGTTATCGAGATATTGATTTCTAAATCTATGTTACCAATCCAAATGCCTCCAAACTGATTTCTTATAGTGGTGTGCACAGAATACAAAGCAGGCAAATCTATTTGGGTTCATGACTGAACTTGACATATACGACATCCTTAGTCATCTTTGATTGTTTTGATTTGAGAAAAACCCTAAATAGATGCATCTTGGATAATGAGAGGAAAACGTTTTCTGCATTTCAGAAATTGACAAGGCTGAAACCATAAATAGATAGACCAGAGTTGAAAGTGGGTGTGTTCCCCCCCTCTCTCTTGCTACCCTCTTTGCCCATTCCTTTGTCTTATCCACCTCTTGTTTCCTCATATAGAGGTAATTCTTAAGGGAAGAAGAAATAATTCATGCCAGCTATCAGAACTACTTGCTTCATGGAAATCCTGTTTTCTTTTCTGTACTTTGAATTTCTCCCTCAGTCTTTTTCTCTTCTCTAAACTTTCAGATTTAAATCTGGGCTCATCCACAGATTGAAAGTGGAATGTGGATCTCGGGACACAGATTGTTAACCCTGATCTAGGGAGAGATTTCTTCTATCCTACTGTAGTATAATTCTGTCAGTTCATGTCAGTGGCAACTTCTCAGAATTTATTTTATCAGTATGGATATTACAATGGATATGGGAAACATCCTTCAAACATATCTTCTGCCCAGAACATTGATTCTTAAAGCAGAAAATTATCGGTTTATAGTATCTATGAAAATGGTAGCAGAGACTATGCAAAATAAAGAACTTGGAAAATAGGTATTGTAGAAATCAACATCACATCTGATGTTCTATTTTTCTACTCATCAAAATAATCATGGCTGTCTCCTGTTCTTGAATACTGTTTCTCTTTAGATTCCTTCCATCTAATTATTCTATCTGCAATGTTGTTATAAATTATCCTTCTTTAGACTGTGACCATTCAGAGTGCAACTCCTGTCATTCTTCACCATGATTCCTAACCCACAAGAAGAATACCAGATTGGAAAAGATTTGGTGTAGATACAAGTTGTAGATAAGACCTGCCATCTACACCTGAATTTGGTGCTTTTGGTTTGTATAGAATTGATATGATCTTCCTCATCTAAAGGCACTCAGGCTTTCCCTCATCTTGAGGCATTATTTCTTTACTTCAGAACTGAATGATATGAAGGTAAAACAGTTGATTGGGAATGGTAGAAGGAAAATGTTTATTTAAAAGATTTCTGCAAACTATGCCTTTTAGTCTGTAAGAATGTTTGGGACAATGCAATTGTCAAATTAAATTGATGTTCTTGAACTATGAATGGTTTAAAAGATTTTGAGGTTGTTAAATCTTTTGTGGTTTATTCTGGAAAAAGATCAAACCATTATTTGTTTTTATAAAATAACTTTTTCTGCTGCTGATATCTTAAATGACTCAGAGACAGAAGGCAATACGATATCCTGGCTAGATTCTTTTCCATGGATCTAAAGATACACTAAGTTCTTACTTTTTTTAGGTGGACATTGTTCACCTCAAGTTTTGAGTTCAAATGATTGTCCAATTTTATGCACAGAAATGTGATTTTAGCAGGGAAAGTTCAAGCTTTTTCTTCATAGCTTAGAGATTGAGCTTTCTTCCTTAACTAAATTTTTACTGAAGGGTCATTTTTGGACACATTAAGATATGTTTTCTATGCATTAAAAAATCCTCAGTATATTTTCCAAAGAACTAGTGACAATTAAGATACTGTAAATATATTCCATGAGCAACATTCAGGATTGGCACCTTATAATTAGAAATTTGATAAAGGAATAGTATTGATGTTTGCAAGTATTCTGGAATAAAAACATGTTTATACTACATTACCCCACAAAGACCAGCATTATAAATTTGAATCTTTATTTTTTTCAATCTCTTGCATCTTTCTATGTACTGATGGGTGGGTGGTTATAGCCTAATAATAACAGCATCCTTATTAGAAAAAAAAAACTGGCATGGAATTGAAATCATAAATATATGCTTTTGTTTAAGTTTTGATGAATAAGTATTCAGAGGATTTCTCAAATTTATATACTGTACTTTGTCATATATTACAAGTATTTATTACAATGAGTAATCCTAAATACTTGAACTAAACACTTCTCTGAAAGC